CTCTCGAGCTCGCGTTGGCTCTCCTTTCCGCGCGGCACATTGCGTGAACTTCTTTCTGGGCGTGTCCCTTGGAAGGCGGTGCGTGACCTCTGGTCTTAAACCCTTCGTGGCTGATTGATCGCGATAGCTCGTGACATTGCGACCCTCTCTTATGCATGGAGCATATATGAAGTAGAGTAGACATAGGACCATCATCATGCGTAGAAGTGTGCCTGGTGCTTCTCTAGCTGGTCATCTTTACGATTTATGTTATCGTACTCGGTCTCTCCGCAATGCTTGAACTTGATTCACGGCTACCTGTACGCCGTGGGTTTGGCATGTATCAATGAATGATCTGAATGGCATCGCAGTATACGAGTCAAGGGCGCCGAAAAGTACGTGCTTTAAGTCTGCTGGCACCTAGTAACAGGCCGCACAAGCTAGTCTTACGCAAGGCGATTCTCTCACGGTATGCCGAAGCACTACCGACCAGCTTATTTGTGCTGCTTGTGAAGCTATTTCTGGGTTGCACACGTAGTGCAAACAAGCAGAGATATTGTGCGCAGCGGAAGCGCGCGAAACTTCGAACCGACAGAATGTACAGAGCACCAGCACAATGTAGCATTGCTGACTATAACTAGCGGAAAAGACGGGCCCAGTGTTCTCGCGAAGCCGAAGGTTGAATGTAGGGTATGCCAGGGTGGTGAATCAGAGCAATACAAGGCGCTACGGCAATTACAGTGATACATGTGTCAAATGCGGGGACTCATACAAGACCAAAGACTCGTTGCAGGCAACGAAGCCCGATAATCCCCACTTCCCGATACCAACCGCGCAGTGAGGTCGACTGCGTCCAGACCTACAGCCAACTGTTGGAATTGTGCCATGGCTGAAGATATACTGGGCCGGGCCTGAGGGTCCTCTGAGATCATAGCCCGGACTAGGGGTTCAATAAAGTGTAAAGTGCGGGGCGAGCAGCGCTACATAGCGTATGAGATTTCATGACCGCGGATCATTGACAGGAGTATGCACCTTGATGAGCTTGTCGTTGATAACGTTCCCGAGAAGGTAGACATCGGTTGCGAAGGGATCAGTAGGGACATTTATGAGTGGCCCCTGATGCTCGGGCACGGTCTTGTCGCCTGCGGTAACGGGAAGATCCCGATGGGAGCCCATTAAACCAGCCTCGTAACGTTTGGATAGGCCGTAGTCAATAAAGTAGTATTTTACAGGGCGATCGGCGCGCGAATAGTGCTTAGCTGGCCCCTTCCAATCGCGACGTCGATCGGGCTGGGCCGGGTGGAAGGGTGCGGGGTACAAGGGTGAAGCGTCCATCATTATGTTTAGCCAAGTACAATCCCTTTGAAAAAAATCAGAGTGAAGTTCTAGCAATAGATGACATGATGTGCACTGATTCGGAGCTCACCTATGAGCGATGTATTGTTCATGCATGAATTGAAGACCCTGCAGCAAGTCAGGAACATTGAATTGGAGTTCATGTATTTTACACACTTCAAGAAGCTGCCTTATGCAGTCTACGGCTTCGCCCACAGTTTCAAACGGAGGGTCGTCGAATCTTCGAAGTAGAGGAAGCACTATAATTGTGCGGGTGGGGTCATCAGGTGCGTCGAAACTGTCTAAGACGGGGACGCAGTGGTTGCGAGGATCCCGGGCGAGCCCGGCCGAAGACAGATAGGTCGTAATTGCGACCTCGTTTGGATACCGACTATTGTCGACTGCTTTCATGATGACGTAGGCCCCGTCGCTCAGACGAGTGGCGTCCATAATCAAACTCCCGTACTATCCGAAGGTCATCAGTAAACACTCACGCACGGCTCATAGCGAGCGCACCTCCAGGGCCAAGCTATCTTCTCGCGTGTAGGGGCTCAAAAGACCATATTTGACCCATTTCGGGAGCCATTCGAACTTCTGCCAAGTCGGTACCCAGCCTACTCGGAAACGTGGTCTCAATGAGTAGCCTAACTCGAGCAGCCAAGGCTGGCGCATTTGCCATTTCTTCTCGTATGGATAGAGCCGACTTAGGTCCTCAAAGCTATAGCGCGCAAGCTCGGCTCGGATGTGTGTTGCGGCGTCAACCATCGAGCAAGGGGATGGTTATAAGGTAGAAAGGTAGACGAGTGTAGAAGACAAGGGTCTCAACCCCGGCGTGGGAAGGAGAGCACGGGCCGTCCGGTCGCATCGTCGGCTGCCTACTTATGACAACCCACTGAATCCTTACTACTTAGCGAACATCTATCCTACGGCCAGGGGCCATCTTCTGACCTCGCGCGTGAGGTGAAACGTGAGGCCCTCACGTTTCACCCTGATTGCGCCGGCGGGAGCAAGAACGATCCACAACGGTGAATCCTGAGGCCTGAGACCTGACGTCCGACACCAAATTCTCTTCAGCCTTCGGGAGAAGGTTTGTCGCAGCCTCGAGGTAGCATGCTCCCATTGCCTATTCATATCCACCTCAGTGGCCTGGCCGCCGGCCCCCTCAATCTGCGCAGCCTTTCACACCGGACCCGGGGTTTCCCGCCTTTACAGGTGTTAGAGACCGCTGTTCGCCGCGACGCCGCCACCCGCGAGAACTGATACGACCGAACTTCTGAGCCTGATCGAACTGAACAGGAGTTGAAACCCTGCAAAAAAGAATGGGTAGTGTTCCGTCCGGCTGGTGACAAGGGTTCTAAAACATAATTGGCCACTTGTCGTCAACTGCGAGCAATCCGCATAAGTTGCAACGAAGGCACACCCTCAAATCCCGTTTAATGCCATGGAAGTATAGCTCCCAGCATACGTGGCCAACTGCGTGGCTTTCCCACCCTTGAAATGCATTGACTACGCCTGAAGCCGAAAGGAATCAAAGGAATAGCATTAAAAAATATACCGTCAGATGAAATGTACGTATGAGTACCGAAGGGGCCTGGTTGTGAATCGGGTATCACAAAGCCCACGTCACCTCCACAGCCCCTCGCATCGTGGCTTCCTGCACGCGCCAAGTCGCGGAGGAGACCTCTGAGTAGACGTCAAATGTATCGGTAACGGAGTTTGAGCGCCCGACTGGTCAGTCGGACGGCTTTACGTTTGGCGGTAGGGATCTCGAACAACACCGGAAAAGACCGGATGCAATGTCGAGCCGGTGAGTGGGAAACGTAGGGCGGTAATGAACTTCAAGACGCCCGCAAGCGGTGAGCCTGCGTGTACCACGCCTGTAAAACCACTCCCTAAATACCGCTCGCCTCGGCGACGAAGGACGGGCTGGGATATGTAGATCGGTCTTGTAGAACAAGGTTCGGAAATACCAAGATTTATTCCAAAAAATGCGACTGGCGAAGCGGCCGGGAGAGTCGAGCGACAGGCTTCATACTGACGATACACTGCGGCCTCCGTCTATCACGCTCAACTACATTTCGCCGATGCCGACACCGCTAGCCCTTCCAACCAGGCGCGACTCTGCAGGCCGTCGACGTTGCATTGCCGTGAATGATCCGTCTATGGCAAACATCAGGCGCCAGGAAAAGTTCTTAGACGTTCATGTAATACACCACATAGAAGGAAGAGCTATCGTGAGACGACGCGTTGAGGGTGCGCTGAGCAGAAGAAAAAAAAGAGCCATGAGCCCGGGGCCACAAGACGAAGGACAGACGTGACTTACGCGTTCGCTCGTTCATGAAACGGCGAAGCTCCACACTACTTGCTGAGGAGCAAGGCTTGGGCGGCGACAACGGGTCGCATGGCAAGGAGAGCCAATGTGAACTCGGGAGGGAGATCGCGCTGTGCAGAAGAAGCAGAGAGCCGTGAGCCCAGAGCTATAACAAGACGAA